ACTATTTTAGAACTTTTCGTAACCTTAAAGTTCGAATTTCCAAAAATCATCACTGCACTTCATCAGGGACTCTCATTCCAAATTTCGAAAGTCCAATCCAAAAATATTGAATTTTTAGTCCATTTTTGTACTTTTCGTACCCTTTTAGTACGAATTTCCAATTACAAGCTTAAAAAATGTTACGATGTATAAAGTTCACGACAGCCAGCCAGGCAGTCGGACAACTCAACATCAACTCTAAATGTTCTGAAGCGGATTTGTCCAAAGAGACCTAGGGTTCAAAACCGTTATTTCGATGGAGCACGTATAGCCTCTGTTGCAATATAACTGAGAGCAGGATTGAGTCCCGGAAAGGTAATTTAGATATTATTTGGGAACTTTGCTTGAAAATCGATTTTTTGTCAGTCGGGACCTAAAAAATGGTTTTGAATGGTATTTCTGGCTACTTCGGTTACTGTGGGTATTAAAATCCAAGTCATCTATTCACCTATCACCATTGGACAAACAATTTGAAATGCACCGAAATTGCCCCCAGATCGGAGGCCTCGAACATATTGTATGAGATTCATGAATTTCGTTGAAATTTTTCCAAACTACCCTAAATTTGCGTATAATTTGCAGAAAGTATGTTGTGACCTTTCTCATATCATTTAGCGAAGCCTTCGGTCTGTGTGTCTCTCTGTCTGTCCGTCTGTCTGTCTGTCTGTCTGTCTGTGTGTCTTTCCGTCTGTCTGTCGGTTGTAATCACGTTATCTTTCGAACGAATTGAGATAGAAGGCTAAAATGGGCCATGTCGATCCACGTATTTTCGGTAATTTCGTATTTAAAGTTCGTAATGGGTACTACAGCCTATGACAAAAATGTTTGTATGCAGGTCCACGTCTTTGTATAGCCCCCATATAATGGTACCTCCCTATTTTCGGTATTTTGGTGATTTAAGCGGCACTTTTCACCGGAAATGTTTCAAAATTTGTATTTGAAGCTTGTAATGGATACTACAGCCCATGACAAAAAATTTCTTATAGGGCACTACGTTTTTGTATAGCTTCCATAAAAAGGTTTTAATTTAAGCGGCATTTTTCGGCGGATTTATTTTTATATTTATTTTTTAATTTTCAAATTCCTTCCGAATGTATAAAAAATGGTATAAAAAGTTCGGCCCGGCTGAAATTAGCTGCTTATTAATTTGTTTCACTTAAAGAACTACCGATTAATACTTTCAATATCTCAATAATGTATTTAACGACATATAAGTATTGCCATCACTACCTCGACTTATTTCCCTGCCACTACTCTATTACCCGTGGTAGAAAGGTAAGCCCCACTCAAAATAAATACGCAGTTACTACCCATAATTGTAATAAATAAGCTTCCTAAGGTTCTCGTTTGGGTGTTGTTGGCGTAGGAAAATAATGAGATTCTCATTTCTGGCTGGTGTTAGTGACAACCGAACAGCAAGTTGATGGCGGCGGAGTAACTGCGGCTGTGATGGAGAAGGCGATGGCGATGGCGATGGCGTTGATGATGCTGATGACCATGACGATGACGACGATGACATGGTACAAAGGAAAATGACGTTAAAACAAAGTCATTGTGTTCTTAATTTGTATTAATTGGCAACTAATTGTTTGTTTTCGCTTTCACATTCTACTCTCGCCCTTTCGTTCGCCCATGCTGTTTACATGGCCCAGACCATTAGGACACACCAACCGAACAATTATTTTCTGTCTTCAAGTTATTTATTCTTGGAGTCATTGTAATTAAATGAAAACACCACGCAATATGACTACGGATCAGCAACAGCAGCAGGACAACATTGGAAATGCCATAAACCATGATACACCACCACACCGCCACACAGCAGCAAATTGTGGCCGTACACCCCCACCAACACTGGTCAATGTTGCTCACTTTGACAGCAAATGAGGCACAGGCAATAAATTCCAAGATGCGTTGGACTAAGTGAGCTGTCAATAGATTTTCAGTCAATTAATGTGGCCCAGGACATCTGTGGGAGGACAACACAAAGCCAATGACGAGTGTAATGGTAGGTTGGTTTTTGGTTATTAAAAATGTCCCGCCGAGAGAGGTATCTATCTATTAGCAACTGGTCATGGTTTATTAGGTATCTATTTTATTTTAAGACGAAAATCCAAAGTGTTGCCGCAAACAATTAAATTATGGTTGTATGCATGACTGGAAAATTATTCCTAAATCTCTTTAAATAATACAAGTGTATGTGTCATTCAAACTAAATTGAATTACAAAAAAAAAACTTAAACAAGATAAATATGTGAAAAATTCTTTTATGCTTCTTCGAAATTTTGCAATTCTCTTTCTTGTGTTTGGAACAATTAAAACAATTATTTTCATAAAAAATTGTAACTAAATTGTTTGAAGTGCTAAATTTAATTTTCTTCTTAAATACATGATTGCAAACTGTTGTTGCAGGTTCCATTGTTCGTTATACGACATATGTATGTATGCCCAATTGTTGACCCATCATAAACAAAATTCGTTACAAAAATAAAAACAATTTAATAACAAGCTTTGTTAAACGAAAATTATTTTCTTATTCTTTGTGAAAATCAAGAAAAACTAAATAATGAATATATTTAAGAAAATTTAACAATATATTGACCGTAGAACAAAAAGTAACATTTATTGAGATGCAAACATGAACATTAAGATTTTTAATTGGAAAACGGAAACAGATCGTCTATAAATATCAAGTTAGTTGTACACCATATGTTTGAGTTTTAAGTTCGTTGTAAATCCTCCACCTTGGAAAGGAGGGTATATTATTAACTTTGTCATCCAAATTACAAATATTGATACAAATTCGGTACTTAGAGTTTGTGACGGGTTCCACCTCCTGTGGCAGAGCATTGTCTATATAGGTTTTCCCATCGCCTCCCATGTAACGATACCTCCTGATATTCGGTTTCTGATGATTTAAGACTCATTTTCTAATGGAGCTGTTCAAAATTCGGTAATTGGGGTTCATATTTGGACCTACCTTCTGCGGCAGAACCTTGCCTACATACATTTAGGTTTTACTGTAACCTCAAACTGTTTAAATATTAGGATTTGCAAAGTTGGATAATAATAATATTACGATGTCTACTGCCTATGGTTTTTGGATATGATCGCAAAGATTTATAGGATGAAATGGACCAGAAAAATGTCCTGATTTTGTAGAAGCTCTACAGGTCACAATTATGGAACGATCGCAGAAAAATTTGCATGTGATACGAGTTTAGGTAGAAGTCTACCAATTTCATTGGCCATTGGATAAGAAAGGCACCACAACTAAGTTGTAAAAATGCAAAAAATTTCCATTAAACCGATTTTGACAATTCTCACCCATTCCGAATATACTCTTGGCGGTAAAGGATAACATTTACAAAAATTGAAAATGCTCATAAAAATTTGAATATTTTTTGTTACATTATTTATTTTTTGTCATATTTATTATTGCATGATATTTTTTCCAATTAAATTGTACATTTTGCAATATTGGTCGCAATTATCATCCTCTCGAAATTTTTCATTAGTGTTGTGTTAGGGCCTGAATAGAATTCTATTGTTTTGAAGATGTTCGCAAAATATTTAAAAAAATATTTTGCAAGATTGTATGGCATTATTTTGAAAACATTGACAAAAATGATTTTGGAACTCAGGGGGGTCCCCAATATATTATGGTGTTGTAGGGTATCACATAGTCATCCCGCTCAACTATAGCCTTTGGTTACTTGTTTTCCATGTCTTTGGTTATAATATCTATCAAAAATCATTCCTAAAATTTCACAATATCAGTCCAAAAAATCCATTAAAAAATCCAAGATTAAAAAAAAATATTCATAACATTCATTTTACCATGACAAAATTTTTGTCAAAAAATTCTCTATAGAAAAAATCCACCATTTGTGCCCAAGAGTCTCTTAGAATTATTAGGGAACCTAGAGAGAACATAGGGTGATCCTTAAAAACTTATTTTTAAAAATTTCACTATGTTTTTTCCCGGAAGTTCTCTCCACATTTTTTTATGGAACTGATTTAAAAACCCAGGATTTTTGGGTCAAAAACCCTTAAAAAAATTATTAAAAATCCCTTAAAATATCATCTGTAATTGGTCGAGAAGTACCAAATATTCTTAATAAATGTACGATATTTTGTCAGCTCCATAAACATATTCTAAAAAAATCATTCAAATACATCCCAGAAAAATCTAAGGTTATTTGTCAAATATTGTTAGACAATCCAAAATCATTGGTGAGGAAGTTTTTGTCAAATATTATTATTAATATTATTAAAAATTCAAGATTTATGAAGCAAACATTTTAAAACTGGGTTTTAAGAGGTCTGCACTTTTTTTGTTTAGGTAAAACTCTCAAAAAAATTCTTCAAGAAAGATGCGATTTTTCGTCCAAAGTTCCTGGAATGTTTATTTTTAATCTACGATTTCTTTCATGTCTTTTCTTAAATCTATGATATTTGGTTCAGGGTGTCCTTACACAAAAATATTCTTAAAAAATTGGAAATAGCTAGGCCTTCAGATTCTGGGCAATAGATTATTTATTTCACGTTTTATGATGATTGTAAGTATTAACAACACTGTTTCATTGTCATCTCTGAACTCCATTTAAGTTTTGTATTAATGTTATGATGGTTAAGAATTAAATGACATGGCGGTAAATTTTAACCACTCTTAATTTTACAAAACTTTCATAAAAACTTTTACCTAAAAATATTTTTTATCAGTATATGCTTGAATAATTACAATAAGTATAAAAAACTATTTTTCATTTAAACAAATCCGGTTCTTTTATTCATCACAAAAGAAGATATAATTTCAATAAAATGTAAAGAGAGAGTAACATTTACCACCACCTCGTTAGTTTTTTAAACAGATAAGTGATTTGTTTAATTTTTATCAACCCACCTTCATTTAAAAAGGTTTAAACAATTACAAAACACTTTGTTAGTTTTACATCTACATGTCTTTATTAAATTTTTCTTTTTCGTACAGAATAAAATACAGATTTAAAAATACTACAAAGACGCTGATGTTTTTAAAAACTACGTTTAAATTGTTGTTTGTTCTGCTATTGCTCTTATACAATATTTTTTCTGATAGCTTAAGGATAATGGGAATATTTTTTTCCGGCTGGCTGGCTAACTGGACGTCGGTGCTGCTGTTGTTACTGCCACAATTCTATGGTTATTGTTATGTTATGAAGTAGCTGATACACAAACCACACTTAAAATGATGGAAGAGGACAATGGGGGCAAGGAAGTGTGTTGTCTTGTCTATGATGCAGATGACGATAATGATGATTTTGCTGATGGCATAGAATTGAATATTATTAAAGAAGGATTTCAGAGGAAACAACAGATGTTTAAAAAATATGGCATTATTACATGATGGAATGGAATGATGACGACCGATCATAATGCCAAAGATGTTGGCCGATTTCGTCTCTTTTTTTCAAAAGGCCATTGTTGAAATGAAGTCGCGTTTTGAAGATGATAATTATTTTCCAGCTTCTGGTGATGATTATAATTTTAAGACTTTCTTTGTAATGATATTACGATTTTTTTATCACCTCAAAAAATAAGTTGGTCACAAGTTTTCTTGTGGCATGACTGAAAATCCTGCTCAAGCAAATCTGGTTTCTGTCATGGAATTTTATTTACTTGAATACTTTGATGAAGAAATGCGATGGTGGTGGTGTTGGTGTGGGTGTAAGTCAGTCAAGCGGTCAAAACTAATTGCGCCATAATGTCCTTTTGTAAAACAGAAATGCGAAAGATTTCTTGCATTTTTTTCCTTCATCTCCATCACATTACACTTTGGGTGATGAGGGTGCTGGCAAATAGCAACAACAACGAAAAAATGTAAATGTGATTTATGCAAATGACATTGTGATTTGATGTCTATCTTAAAAAGGCATGGGGGCAAGCTCAGAGTGTATAAGTGTGTGTAAGTGTGAGGGGGACAACAGTAACAACCACAGCAACAAATGTAAGAACAAAAAAATGATAAGTTTCTATCTGAAGATATTTACTTCCTCTTGCCTTTACTTTACAAATCATACTTATAGCAAAAAAAATGAGTGGTGTTGTTTTTCATGATGATGCTGTTGTTGTTGTGTTTTTAATGGTATAATTTTGTTTAAATTACATATTTTCTACAAAAGAATTTGTTTCTTGTTTGTTCTGCTTTCAAAGAAGCCATTTCTGCTGCTTTTCTTGTTAAAATATATAAATTTCATCGGTGTTGTTGTTGTTGGCGGTGTTGGTATTTTGTTTTCCTATTTAAGAGCATGACTTCCGCTTGGTCACTCATCAATATTGTGTTGAAATATATAGCCGCTGATGATGATGAGAGAGAGAGAGATGTGAGTTATAAGACAGGCTCTCTACTGGATGATGTTGTTGTTTTCCTTGATGAAATTTAGTTGTTTTTGTTTTTCTCTTGTTTTTGTGTGTTTTTAATTTCTGGCTCTTTGGAAATTCTTTCCCTGCAATGGTAGTGGTGGTACACCTTCATTGGCCAACTGTAAATATATGGAGCGAAAAATTAACGAAATTAGTCAAAAATACATTTCACGAAAATAATGAGAAATAACAAGCAAATTAATCTATGTAATTTTGTAGGGGGGGGGGGGGGCAAAATATAAAAATAAATATAAAAACGAAATTAGGTTAGGTATTTTATGTTTAGGTCGTAGAAATTAAAACGAACTAAGGAAAACATGGTAATTAAGCATAAACATCATTTTATTTAGACTGAAAGTTTAACATCGACTAGGCATTTTTACCATCACTCTGTATTCGGAAAAGGAACAATTCTGTCAGATTCACCTAAAAATATATTAAGTTTTATATGCCCATTTCGGTTTTTATTTGGATGAGCAAAGTTTATTTACATTTACTTCCAACATGTGCCCTTCCATGGGGGAGCTACCAATGTGGATTTTGAAGAAGTAAATTAAGGAAATCTTGTTCCGATCTAAGGCAGACATAGGTATAACGATATGTCACTGACGTAACCTCCTGCATGACCAATTTTTTCATAAACCTTTCTTAAAATTTGTTACATTTGTATTTTTTAAGCACTATAATATTTTTAAATTTTTGATTAAAGAACTTTCAAACAGAACTCATGAAATTTGATACTTTGGTTAAAGAAGTTTCATATCTTCGTATAGCCCCAATATAATGATACATCCTATATACGGTATTTTTATTTTGACGATTTTAGCGACTGACGACGGAATTGTTCCCAATTTTATATTTAAAATTCGGAATAGGTACAATAGCCTATAACAAAAAATCACTTATGTAGGTCAACGTGTTCGTATAGACCTCATATAACGGATTTCTTTCATGCGACATTTTTCGACGGAATTATTTTGTAACTTTTCAAGTTTCTTCCAAATGATGGAGGGTGTTAAAAGTTCGGCCAGACCATACTAAACTTTTTTTTTTTTTGTTGTTTTTTTTTTTTATACGGCCAAAACGTGCCTCATCGAAATAGCGGTTTAAGAACATACGTCTCTGTGGACCAAATCCGTTTCAGGACATTTGGAGACGACGCACATTATCTCTCGAAGGTCCAAACGATTTGGTCCAAACTAGGTACATCGTAAAATTATTATCCAAGTTAGATCGAGTTCGGAGACGTGCAATATCCTCCCAAACCAAAGGTCAAAATTAAAAAAAAAAATATTTTATTGCACAGACAGAGAAAGTATAATCCGATTTTGCTCCAACTTTGCATATCCTAATATTTGCATGAGCGCCAGGTTGGGTGTGAAAATGAAAAATATCAATCCACTCCATCAAGTACCTCACCCACAATGGGTCAACATTTTGAAAAATTAAAACTCTTATAAAATAGGATGTTAATTTCCGATTGTCTTTAAATTATATTACATTGCCCTACAAAAATTGTCGACATAGATCCACGTTTCGGTGCAACCCTATGCAATTCATACGGATAAAGCAATTAAATAAACTTCATAAAAAACTATTGAACGCATGTATGGACTGATTAACATTTTCCATGGTCTGAAAAAGGCCCTTCTTAGCTATTTCCCTGTGATATATTTCTTTGTTATTTTTTTGCCTTTGGAAATTATATTTCTTTGAAATTTGAATATAACCACCCGTTTTAGATGGAATTCGAAAATGTTTAATTGTACTTTTAGAATTCATATCACTTCAGTTTCATTTCGAGAACTACATTTATAGTTTTTATTATCTAATTATAATACCACTTCAAATTCGATACATTCAATAAAGAAAATGTAGGTCGTTAGGGTAGATCTTTAATCAACGTTCAATTTAAAATATTAAAAAAAACAGACCTTTAAAATAATTAATATTGTTTTGTAAATAATATATGGGAACTGGACTTGTATTGATTTGCGCCTAAAAGCAGACTTTAATGAAGAAATTTACCGAAAAGTATTATAATGTGATTGGCAGCACTGGTAACAATATGAAAATAGCGCCATCTATTGAAAGCCATGATCTCTGAAGGGGAAATATTTTTTATTTCAATTATTTCTTGGCAACATTCAGTAGGCCAAACTGTTAAAATTGTCTGCGAAAATTTTGGATTTAATTAAAAAAAAAAACAGAAAATCAACCAAAAAAGGTAAAAACTTCCAATTTTTGTTCTTCTTTAAAAAAAAAAAAAAAACAACCATTCCAAATCAAAAATATCAAAACCGGCTGATTTCTTGCCTCAGGAATAAAAAGAAAAAAAAAGGTTTTAAATGATTCGAAAAAGAAATGTTCCGACAAGAACTTTCAAACTTTAAATAATAAATTGAGTATTTTCTGATCATTTCCTATTTACACCTCTTAACATTCTTTCAGTTAATATTTGTGATTAGCATACAATTCTAAGCCGACAAAGGGATTTCTGTCTATTTGTTGAAATCTAAGACAGAGTTAAAAATAGTTAAGCAAATAATTGAATTTTTGCATGTAGATGTACGATGTTTGGTATTGAAAATGGTTGATAACGGTCATTGAGGTATAGGCCTAAAAAAAACCTATGCAATTTTATTTTTCGAGTGCTCAGTTCGTAGGTCAAAGAATACTCAGTAAAATAGGTTCATATATTTCTATAGCTATAGCTTTCATATAACGATAACATGACGATTTGACATCGGATTTGTTTTAAATTTTGCACTTATAGTTCGTAATGAGTTCTACCTCTGGTGGCAGAACACAGTCGATCTTGGTCAACGTTTTAGGTTATGCCACTCTTTTTGTCAATAAACGACATATTCTTAACCAGAATAATATTCTGATGTCTGTTTTTGGGGAAAAAAATTAAGATAATAACTTGAGTCTGCAGGCATGCCCAGTTCAAGGGTGAGCTCTATTAGTCCACATTTTCATAGAGTTCCATGTAACGGTACTTTCCGAAATTCTGCAATTTTTATGATACTACATACACTTTTGAAACGGAATAATATGAAATTTCCTCTGGCAGAAAATTGTTGATATCCCCACATAACGGTACCTTATGATACTTCGTATTTGTATACCCTACACCTAGGAAAGGAGGGTATTTTAAATTTGTCATTTCGTATGAAACACCTTTAAGTATTCGTCGTAGACCCCATATAGTATATATATCTACATAAATTTCTAAGTCGACTTAGCGTTGTCCGTCTATCCGTCCGTCTGTCTGTATGCTGAAATCACGAAACGGTACCTTCAGATATTCAGTATTTTGATGATTTTAGCCACATTTTTTAACAGAACTGTTCCAAAGTTGATTTTAAGAATTTTTAACTTATTTTATCTCGGATGGAAGAACATTGGCTGCAAGAGTTCGGCGGTACCTCCCAATATTATGTATTTTGATGGTTTAAGCCACGTTTTTTCCACGGATTTGTCTAAAAATTGGTATTTATACTTCGTAATGGGTTATAGCTCCGGTGGTAGGACATTGTATATGTTGGTCCACGGTTTCCCATAGCGCAAATTTAACGGTACCTTCGGATATTTCGTATTTTGACGATTCAAACCATATTATTTAACTGATTTTTGTAAAATTTGTTATTTGTAGTTCACAATGGGTTCAACAACCGGCGTCAAAACACTGTCCATGCTGGTCCACGGTTTCCATATCGAAACCGACATTCGATATTTTGATGATCCTAGTCAATTTTCCCAATACAGGTTTCCGTTTCGGTATGATCCCCCCATATAACGGCTCCACCTACTTTATTGTTATATGGAAACTTTAGCTAAGCTGATCTCACTGGAAATTGCAGTTTAGGGTGCAACACGTTTGAATCCAGATACTTTTATATTTATGGGCCTCATATAAATGTACCTCTTAATAATCGATATTTTGATGATTAGCCAATTTTCAAACGAAGTTGTTTGCTTTTTGATGTTCCAAATGGGCACTGAAGCATTTGGAAGAAAGTGATGTACAAACGGTTACGTTTGGAGACTTTTGGTTTTCTTGCCGTATTTTCAATCGAATTGGCTGTAAATAGGTATTATGCGTTTCCAGAGGTTAGAAATCATTTTTGGAAAAAGCTGAGAAATTTGTCTATAGCTCCACATAACAGGCCTGCTTGATAAGCGATATTTATACCAGTAACTTTAACGGTCATACTCGATATTATGAAATTTTTGACTACTTTTTTTCCTACCGATATCAAACGGGAATTCTAGTTTTAAATACAACTCGTTCGAATACCAGACCTCGGTGCAATTTTCAAAGTTTTTATCTTTCTTCATTATGGAGGGTATCAATACCTCGGCTACATTACGATTCTCATATAGCGACAGGAATAACAATATTAATGATATTTATGCTTGCGGGTCGCTTGTCGTGATCTAGTATCAATTCATTTGACTTTTTTTTAAATTTTATTTTTTTTTTTTACCAGGGGAGTTTTTTTTCACCTATCCATTTCTACTCCCTATTATTCACCATTAGCCTACTGTAACGAAGAACACGGCTTAATTAAACTTTATTTTGTAATTGCGTAGTAAAAACTCAATTTTTTTCTTTCACTGACATTTTCATCATTGCATAAAATTAACTCCAACAAAATGGCATACCAAATTATATAAAATATTCTCGATTCCCGGGCAGCATTCCACCTCGAAACCATAACAAAAAACATGTTTCGCGTCAATTAGCTGTTGTAGCAACAACAAAATAATGAAATTTTATACCTTTTTGGCCCGTGGCGGAAATGGAAATTATTTTGTTGCCGTTTTGGTGATTTTCTCCTTGGTTTCCCATGGCAAATATGTTTGTTAAGTGTCTGTGCGTGAGTGGGTGTGTGTTGGGTGTACGGCAGCATCATGAAGAAGTATTTCAATCCTAATTTATTAAAATTGGGTTTACGTTTTTTTGGTATTTCGCTATTTTTTGGGAGGAGACAAAAATATGTTTGACCATTTAATTAAGTTTGATGTTGCTTAACTTATATTTACCACCCCCTTTCCATGTTTCATGATTTCCTTTAATGCCTGGCCTTCCGTTTTGTTTCCTTGCATATTG